AACCTACAGTAATCAGAACAATGTGGTATTGGCAAAAGAACAGACAAATAGATGAATGGAAAGGAATAGAGAGTCCAGAAATAGACCCATACAAATATAGTCGACTGATCTATGACAAAGACCCAAAGGCAATGGAGAAAGAATAGTATATTTGATAAATGGTACTGGAACAACTAGACATTCACATGCATAAAAATGAATCTAGAAAATGACCTTGTATCTTTTCACAGAAGTTAACTCAAAATGGACCATAGACCTGAATGTAAAATGCAAAGCTCTAAAACTTCTGAAAGATAACAGAAGAAAATCTAGGTGACCTTGAGTTCGGAAATGAGTGTTTAGACGTGGCACTGAAAACATGCTCAACGGAAGAAAAAAAAAGATAGGTTGGACTTCATTAAAATAAACAATTTGTGTTTTGCAAAAGACCATGTTAAAAGAATGAAGAAACAAGATACAGACTGAGAGCAAAGATTCACAAAACGTGTTTGATAAAAGACTTGCATCCAAAATACACAAAGAACTTTTAAAACTCAACAATAAGAAGACAATCTAATTAAAAAGCAAGTAAAAGACTTAAACAGACACCTCACTAAAGAAGATGGCAAATAAGCACATGAAAAGGTGTGCCACATCACACATCATCAAGGAAATGGTGAATTAAAATAAAAATCTGATATCGCTTCGTACCTGTAGAATAGCTAAAATCCAGAACACTGACAACACCAAATGCTGTTGAGGATGTTGAGCAACAGAAATTCTCATTCACTGCTGACGGGAATGCAAAATGGTAGAGCCATTTGCAAGACAGTTTGGCAGTTTCTTACAAAGCTAAACATAGATTTTGCATATGATCTAGTGATGGTGCTCTTAGTTATTTACCCAAATGAGTTGAAAACTTATGTCCACACAAAACCCTACACAAAAATGGTTATAGCAGCTTTATTCATAATTGCCAAAACTTGGAAGCAACCAAGATGTCCTCTGATGGGCAACAGATAAACTGTGGTCCATCCATACAATGGAATATTATTCAGTGATAAAAAGAGATGAGCGATCATGCCACGAAAAGACACGAAGGAACCTTCAATTCGTATTGCTAAGTTGAAGACATCAGTCTGAAAAGGCTACCTAGCATATGATGCCAACTATATGACATTTTGGAAAGGGCAAAACTATGGTGACAACAAAAAGCTCAGTGGTTGCCAGGGGCTGGTGGAGTACTGAGGGCATTTAGGACAGTGAAACCCTTCTGTATGACACTGTAATGGCGGATACGTGACTTTTGCATTTGGCAAAACCTACGGAATGTGCAACAGAAAGTGAACCCCACCTAGCCATAAATTATGGACTTTAGTAAATAATAATGAATCAATATTGGTTCATCAATTGTAACAAATGCACTACACAATGCAAGATGTTAATAATAGAAGAAACTGTGGGGTGTGGAGTGGGGTGTATATGGAAACTCTCTGTGCTTTCCTGTAAACCAAAACCTGCCCTAAGCAACAAAGCCTATTAAGTATACACTTTAAAAAATGATACATATCACACATTCAGAATAGTACCCAGCATATAACAAGTGCTATATAAATATTTACTGCATGGAAATGAGTAAGGGTGCAGAGCTGGGATATCTCCAATAGGACTCCAGAATCAGATTTTCATTCTCTGGACACTTGCACGCACTCTCACCGGGAGAATCTCCTCCACGGGTCCGTCCCGTTATTTGCCAACTCTTCATCCTATTTACTTCTAACCGCTAACAGAATCTACGTGATCTAAAGTGCTCCCGCTTATTTGTCTGTGTGTTTACTATCTGCCCCCCAACGAGCCTGTGGGTGCCATGAGATCGGGGGCCAGGGCGCCTGTGCTTGCCTCTGTCTCCCCAGCGGAAGACATGTGCAGGGGTGCTGGCTGGGCAGTGTGTGTTTGGGGGGGTTCTCTGTGACGTGGTTCTGTCCTGGAGAAGCTGGCGGTCCAGTGAGGGCAGGGGCAGGGATGCACGCAGCGGAGCTGAACAGCACGCTAAGTGTCCCGACAGAGGAGTGTCGGGAAGCTAGGCACAGCAGTGGGGAGGAACAAGAGCTTAAATCTGGTGGAGCCAGGGAACTCAGGGACACATCCCTGTAGAGATAACCCAGGGGCCTGGAACTGAAGTTCATTTACTTGTCAGAGAATGTTCTGGAAGGGGGAACAGCATGGGCAAAGGCCGGAAAGCGTAACACAGAGCAAGGCCTATGACTAGAATCCTGGGATGTTCAGAGCGTCCAGAGCAACCAAATGCGTCCAAGGTCGGTGGGGGTCGGTGGGGGTCGGGGGCGGGGTAGGGACAGACCACAAAGGTCTTTGATCACTTCTCCCCCAGGCAGAGACTTTCTCTCTCACTGGGGGCCCTGGACAAAACAGCCCCTTGAAGGACAATTTAGGACACCTCATCCCCTGGGCACACTGTTCAACCACCACGCCGTGTCCGACGGAGGAGGGCCGGAGAGAAATCAACTGGCTGCCTGGTGCTGCTTGGTGGGAAAACGACAATAAGGTCGACAAAGCAAAGGGTTCTGCTGCCATGGCAACAGCATGACAGGGCAACCCTAAAAATAAGAGGAGGAAAAGAGGAGCAGGCCAGAAAAGGTTCACAGAGAAATCTCAGCAGATACCTGGAGGGAAACTGAGACGGAGTGTCTGGGCTGAAAGCCAGGGAGCTGGCTGTCCTCCAGGCCTCACCTTGGAAAGTCTGGATGCCCCTTGGCAGCAACGTCCCCTCCCCAGACTCAGTTTCCTCATCTACGCAGTGGGGCATTTCCATGGCCCCCCTCGGCTCCTCTGTTTGAGACCCGTTGCCCTGGAAGGTGGTGCATGGGCCAGGGTTCTCTGCACAGAGCCACCGAGAGCCTCCGCACTTACTTCAGAAAGGAAGGAAGAAAGGTAAGGTCAGTGATAGCAAACCGTCACTTACGCTAATCCGACTGCACAAGGTTGATCTCCTTTAAAGGGTCCAGGGGGACTGGCTTCCCGGGTCCACTTCCCGGAGTCTGCTGACTCAGGCCGACGCCAGCCCTGCGGCCTCTCCGTGCCACAGCCAGAGTGCGGGGGACCCCTGGTGCATACTTGGCCTCCACCTTAACCTTGAGTGAGGTGGCAGCGGCTCGTCTCCCCAGCCACCCCACCCCGGCGAGGCTGCGAGCCAGTGGACGGGTCTGGCCTCCGTCCACCCGCCCAGCTCCAGTTCTTCAGGCCGGCTCTGCGCGCCTCGCTTTCTCCCTCCCTGACATCCTGGGCCTTCGGTCTGGCCGGCGCTCTAACCCGAGCCCTCACCCGCACAAAGTGAAAGCACTTCCCTGCCCACTTCACAGATCTGTGCCCCCGGCCAAGGTCTGTGAGAGGCCCTAAAAACTGCAAAGAGCCATCTGTGGGCTGAAAGGCAGGGAGGGGAGTGTGTGAGAGGGTAGTTAGTGGTGTTGCCACTAACCTGCTAGGTAGCCTTGGGTCACTTAAAGAATCTCTTTGGGCTTCTGTTTGCTCATCACTAAAATGGGGCCAAGGGGGGGACACCCGCAGTACAGTTACTGTGAGGATTCCGTGAGTTAACGCGCAGAGCTGGCTACCACCACCGTTGCTGTTGCGGTTATCGGCGTTAGGGTTGGTGACGAGCAACCCCCGGGCCTCCCTAGCCCAGAGGCCCACCTAGCCATGACAGTTCTTCCTCCTGTTGACACCCCGTCCGGATTTCCAACTCCTGGCGGTGGAAGAGGAAGTCTCCAGGGTGGAGTGGGGTGGGGCAGGACAGCTCCTTTGCCAACTGTGGGTCATGAGTAGTGACCAGGCGTCACCTCCCCTCTGGAGCCTGTCTGCCCCAGTGACCTCCTGCCCCCTCGGCCCACGGGTACAGCCCGCGTCTGGGCCTTCCTCCTCGGCAGTCCTGGCCGTGCCTGCCTGGAGTCCTGCTCCCTCCCGAAGTGAGGCTGAAGGCCGGGAGACAGAGGCCCCGGCCCTAAGGCTGTCTCCTACATCTGCGCGGGCAGGAAGGGGCATTCTCTGCCCCGGCACTGGCTCTCTGACTTCTCCCTGTGCTGGGTAAACCCTCTATCTGTTCCCCTGCAAATGAAGCTGGGCTTCTTATTTGCTAGAAAACCATCTTGTCCAGAAGGGTAAAAACCTCTGTCCCCAGTGCATAAAATGACCAATTCCACATTAGCTTAAGAATCCACACTACATTCCACAAAAAGATTTCTCTAATAATGCGGACACCGGTTCTCTCGGTAGAATTTGCTACACCATATGGAGATCAGGATGCATGGCGCACGCCATTCAAGCCCGGCCCTCTCCCATGAAGGCAAGTTTAACTGTTCTAAGAGCAAGGCAACAAAACCACAACTTCCAAAGGGTCTTGAACTTCCCTAATCTGGAGCATCCTGGGAAGACCAGTGTGAGAAGAGGGTAAGGCTGAACGCAAGACTATTAAAATATATACTTTTATGTAATTTTATGTAAGGTTCTTTATTTTAACAGAACTCCTCACTTCGAAAATCACATAGTAACTAGAAGGAGCTACCAGAATGTTTACTCCCGAGTAGCACTCCTTAGGGAACTTGCTTAAAAGGAGGTTGAAACTCAATGTATTTCTGGATGGATGAATCCTATAAATGCGGGCTTTGACAACGGGCAGAAAATATACTCATTTAAATGGCCTAACATTTTTTATTTCTGCATATACTAATATCACTAGACAATTCTTTCACTGTGCTTTCCCCAGGAGTGAAGACTTTCTATTTGGCCTTTCTGGAATGTGTCTCAAATGGAACAAAACAGAACTAAATGAGGAGTTTCTGATGGGGAATGTGGGCCCACGTGGAGCTGTGAAGATTCCCCTGGAACAACCTTGATTTCATCTTAAGCAGCGCCCTTGGGGCGGTCAGGGCGACGTGCTGCCTCCCTGTCCCAGAATGTCTGGGAGCAGCGTCCCCGCGGGCCTCCCTCCTGCCGCCGTGGGCACTTACCTCCATGCTGTACCTCTCCACCGTCCTCCTCAGAGGATCTACAGCCTGCCAGCAAATCAGGATGCACAAGTCGATCAGCAGCATGCCCCCAACAATCACCAGCAGCTTCTGGTCCTTGATGATCTGCAGGGAGGGCAGGGCCAGAAGGCAGCAGACGTGAGAGAGCTTCCCCACCAGCAGCTAAGGGGCGGGCTCAGGGGTTTCAGAATCTCTCGAGACTCTCCAACACCCACAGGAGAAATCCAGCCACACTCCTTTGCTTGGCATTCAAGGCCTCTCATGAGCTTGGCTGGACCACTCCCCAGACACATATGTGCACTTACTTAGGTTTGAGGACTCCTAGTTTCTGGACCTGCTGTGACTTTCACCGTCCCACCCAAACTCCCACCCCCAGGCCTTTCTAGGTGCCAGTTCTGTTGTCTGAGACATTCTATTCTTTATGTCTGGCAAACTCCTAATGATCTTTAAAGATCCAGATCCCTGTCACTTCCTCCACGAAGTCCCCTCTAACTCCCACAGGAGAATTAATTACTCCTATAGCACTTTGTTCACATACTTAGCCGGAGAAGTCATAGTTACTACTATTAGGAGAACAAGGAGAAGAACAGCTACTATTTAGTGAACATGTACTCTGTGCCTGCCTCTAGGCTGATTAATGGGTTACATACATTATCTCTAATAAAGACAGATACTATTATTATTCCCATTAAAAAAAAAGATTTCTTTATTTTAGACACAGAGAGAGAGAGAGTACGAGCAGAGGAGGCAAGAGGAGAAAGAGGATCTCAACTAGACTCCACGCCGACTGCGGAGCCCGACATGGGGCTTGAACTCGCGACCCCGAGATCATGACCTGAGCCAAAACCAAGAGTCGAACGCTCAACTGACTGAGCCACCCAAGTGCCCCTAATTATTCCCATTTTATGGATGAAGAAACTGAGGTTTGTGAGGGGCTAAATAACTTGCTCAATGTCATACAGCTAGTATGAGGTGAAGTCCAGATTTGAACCATGCTCTGCCTTTCTCCAAAGTCCACACCCTCAGACACTTACAGCAGCGACCAGATGCTATAGCGACCAGATGCTATAGTGTTTTATTCTATCCTCCTCAAGAAACTGGGGAGCCCCTGACAGAAGGGAAGCTGATTTTATTTTTTTGTGCATCCTCAGCAGGGCCTGGCAAGCAGTAGGCACTTAAAAGTTTGATGGATCCAATTGAGGTGAAGGAATATTAAAAAAAAAAAAAGAAATATAATTTCCATCCCTCTTTGCAGCCTGGGATGTCTTAATTACATGGTGAAACTCCCACCCCATTTTATGTCTATTTGACAGGGACTGGCCTAGGGACAAACACGGCCAGCTCCAAAGATAACCTGTATTTCAGTCATGGCACGGTTATGTGCCTCCTCCCCCAACAGCTAACGTGATGAAGTCGTTCTGGAAGACACTATAGAAAAACAAACAAAACTGAGGCAGAAGCTTAAGAAATATCACCAGGTCCAGCTTTTAATGATTAAAGCCATTTTAAAAGGAGAAATAGAAACTCAAGAGGCCTCTGTGTTGCCGAATTGTAAAAGAACAGGAAAATATTGCTGAGTTCCTGCCAAAGAGATCAAATCCACCAAAACTGCTTTATGTGGAGGCTGGGCGCTGGCAAAGCCGCCTCTTTGAGATTTTCCAGAGGCATCCAGGGAACCCCTGATGCTTTGCAGAAATCCTACTTAACCCTTGCCCTCTGGGGAACTAGGCAACTCCCTGCTAGCCTTAAGGAAGTGGGGCAAAAGGAAGACTTGCCCAAGGAGCTCAGGACACGGAGGACAGGCTGGAAGGGGCCTCTCTACTTAACGCTCCCCCGGAGCTGTTTGAGCCCCCAGGCACGTGCCCACACTGTGCCTGACCCTGGAAGTTCCTTCTCCCACATTCCTGCTGGTACCCCCCTACCCTGACCTCAACACTGAGCCCGAGCAGCTGCTCCTCAGGGATCCCAGGCATGCCCTGCACAAGGTGCGGGCTGCAGCCGTGTTCCGGTCAGCGTGGAGGTAGGGACCAACTAGTCTCCCCTCTGTGCCCTGGCGCCTTGTACAGAGGCTGGCTCTCAGACATTCCTGGAGAATGTTTGGGGAATGAATGAATGAGCCTCAGGAAGAAGCCAGGAGAAAGTGGCACTGTAAAGTCAAGGTCCCTGCCTCCTGCCCGGGGCTCGGGTCCTACTTCCCATGGGACTCCTGCTGCTGTAGCTTCTTACCCTCCTCATCTGACAGCCCCCAAACCCTTCGGGGCACACACCTTCTTCTCCTTGTCCTCGCTACAAGGCTGGGGGACAGTCACTGGAGTTTATGGCCACGCTCATTGCCTTTGGAGCCCCAATGACAGTTGCAACTTCACATTTATTTGTGTGATCATTTGGTTTGTGTCTCTCCTCCCTTCTGGGCTGTGAACTCCGTGTGACTTGGTTTTGCTCATCACTGTATTCTTAGTGCCTGGCTGAGGCCTGGCAGAGAAAAAATGCCCCATAAGCTCTGGTCGATGATGATGGCCTAAGAAAACATGCCCCGAGCACCCACTCCGTGCCAGGCCTTGTGCTGGGCATCGGAGATGCAGAGAAGGACAGACACCGTTGTTGCCCTCCAGGGGCCCAGAAGGTTGGGAGGAGAGGCAGACTTGCGTTGGATGAATCCAAGAGGGTGCGGGGAGGTGATGAGGTGGCTTCACGGAGGAGTTGCTGGAGGCCACTGGGGAGAAGGGACGTCAGACAGAGGAAGCAGCTGGAAGAGCTGAGGGGCTGGGTCAGGGGAGTGACCGCATCATGTCACCCCTGGTTCAGGATTCTCCTGTGACTCCCCATCACCTGGGTGATAAATCCAGCCAAACTCCTTTGCTTGACATTCAAGGTCTTTCCCGAGTTTGGCCTGACTACTCCCCAAACACACACATGGACTTGTTAATGCTTAGCCACTCCCGAGTCTCTGGCTGAGTTGTGATTTTTTTCCCTCCAGACCTTTGTAGGTGCTGGTTCTTTTGTCTGAAACGCCCTGGTCTTTCTGTGAGGGGTTCTGTGTGAGTGGGGTGGGTGGGGTGGCTGGAGAGGGGGTTAGCTGGAGGGGGAAAGCCTGCATGACACTGGAAAGGGGCCCCTACACGGGGCTGCTGGAGGTTGAAGCATCATGATGGGGAGTTCTCTGCAGCATGGAAGGGTAGAGCCGAGGAGGGGAGCCTGCAATAGGAGGCCAGTTAGGAGTTGGTGCAGGCGTCCTGGTGAGCAGGGAGGAGGCTCGATTCAGAGTAGTGACTATCGTGATGGTCAGGAAGATGATGGTGCCACAAATACCAGGCAGGTGGAGTTGCTGGCTTCAGCCTCTGAGTTCTCTCGCCTTCCCCAAACCTCCCCCACCAGCAAGGGTCGTCACCTCCAGATCCCCTGAGACAACAGATCTATGACTCTTCACGGTCTACCTTCCAGGAGGCAGTGACCTTGAACATGCTCAGCACTGATTATCATGTCGGTGCACACTGATGCCATCACGTTGAGCTCTCTCTCTGAAGCCAGGAGCCTACTAGCGCTCCAGTCTCAGTGGGTGCAAAGGCATACAGTAATAATGATTCAGCTCAGGTTCTGGAATTAGATTTGAGTGTGAATCTTACTAATGAGCTGTGTGGCCCTGGGTAAGTTTCTTAACTCATCTACAAAATGGGGGCACTAATCACATAAACTGTCTTAGATTACCAAAGTCTGGTTTATTATAACTGTTCAACGGCTGTCGGCTATTATTACTAAATGTCACTTTCGATCGTTGTTTAGAGCAGGGATCAGCAAACTATGGATTTGGCCCACTGTTTGTTTTTGAAAATAAAGTTTTATTGGAACACAGCCATATCCATTCATTTATGTATTTGTCTATGGCTGCTTTCATTCTCCAACAGCAGAGTTTAGTGGTTGCAACAGCAATTCAACGGCCGGCAAAGTCCATATTTGGCTATCTGGCTTTTTACATAAAAAGTTGTCTGATTCCTGAGAAGAGCATTGGTTTATTTCTGAAGAAATAGAGCATTGGTTTATTTCTTCAAGAGACTTTAGATATTTTGCTGATTCAGACTGGCCTTCTGCTAGGACCAACTCATTGCCTAGTCTCAAGGACACCATTCCAGGGGAGTACAAAGTGAATGGTGCCCCAGCAGTTGGGCAATGCATATCACTCAGACGACTGGTGCTCTCCGGTGAAGCTGCTGAAAGCTCTCTCTTGGCATTTTGCTGAAGTTGAGCCCACAGGAAGGTCTGTCCCCATGTTACCGTCTGCAACAGTAGTACCAAATCACATGTGAACTTGCTTTTTTTTTTTAATTAACAAAATTTTTAAAAGTAATTTCTACAACCGACATGTGGCCCAAACTCACTACCCCGAGATCAAGAGTTGCCTGCTTCACTGACTGAGCCAGCTAGGCGCCCCTGTAGTGAGCTTGCATTGTCCTCCAAAAAAATATCTGCCTCCAGAACGAAAGATTTCATCTCTGCTCTTGTCTCAATGTCTCTATTTGGTCCTATTAAGATGCAGACTAAAGACTGTAGTAAGTCTTCCAATTCAAGATTTTATGATTGAGCTTTAGAAAAAAAACAGTAACATGCCATAAAAACACCAGATTTGGAAGCATGAAGTCCCCACATGTCAATATGTCCTTTAATAGGCTTCTCTTCCTCTAATGTCTTTAAAAATGTGGCCATATGGGGTAAAGTTGGTGTTATGTGTGTTGGGGAGGGCATGCCATTGTGGGTTGGGGGAGGAGGAGGCACGAGCCAGGGAAGGAAGAGAAAGATAAAAAGACTATGAAAACAAGTATATATTGCATTTGCAAACTTATGTAAATCCAGTAAACATGTCAGTAAAAAAATGAAAGGACCCATCTTAAAAAACAAAAAGTCTAAACTTTAAAAGAAACCAATAAAACAAGACAACAACAATAAAAACCAACCTTGGCTAGCTACATAAAGGGTTGGACTCATGGAGAATTTAATTCCAGTTTTGACCTGTACTTGCCACAACCCTTTTAAGACAATCTGGTTCCCTGACTTGGGGGTTTTAAGGTATAAATTTCTCTTCTACACCTTTAACCTCCTCTTCTTTGTTGATAAGGGATGCTCGGTGGCAGCACTGAAAACCTGTTCTGAAATAACTAGAAAGCAAAACTAGAACAAAAAGTTTCTCCCCCTGGGATGGTGTGTTCATCTAGCCTTAGCCATTTTCGGACCAGACAAAACTGGTGACCAAATCTTGTACTCAAAGCCTTTGGCAGTTTCTCAGACAAGCCCCTTCCCAGGGCCCCTGGCCCACGGCCAGCCTGAGTTCCAGCTGCCTTGCTCTGGCCCCCCAGAAGGTGTGGCCACACCACAGCCCCGCCCCCCACAGAGCTCTCGGATGACTGAACTCCCCAAGTCTTCCCTGACATGGTTTGTCAATTGTTGCCAGACAACTGGGAGTCTTCTTGCTCAGCGATCACATGAGTAATGGAAAATAAGGGCCGGTTCTTTATTACTGATGACAATATGGATGAATCACATATTGACACAAAGGAATCAACACTGTGATTCTTTGAAGCCAGGATGGAGTTGTTATAAATGGCAGAGCAATTCTAATCACAGCCACCGCGCAGGAGGGGCCCTAGAAGTCACTTGGTCCCTTGGTGCGCTCAAACTTTGGCTTGCATCTGCATGGCTGGGGGTGCTGGTGAGAGAAGGCAGGATCCTGGGCTCCACCCCAGGATCCTGATTCTTAGGGCTAGGGTGGGGCTTGAAAATCTGCATTTCTTCTCTCTCTTTTTTTTTTTTTTTTAAGATTTTATTTATTTATTTGTCAGAGAGAGAGAGAGAGAGCACAAGCACGGGGAGTGGGAGAGGGAGAAGCAGGCTTCCCGCTGAGCAGAGAGCCCGATGTGGGGCTCGATCCCGGGACCCTGGGATCATGACCTGAGCCGAAGGCAGATGCTTGACCAAGTGAGCCACCCAGGTGCCTCTCTGCGTTCTTTTTAAAAGTAGGCTCCATGCCCAGTGTGGAACCCAACGTGGGGCCCCAACTTATGACCCTGAGAACAAGACCTGAGCTGAGATCAAGAGTCGGATGCTCAACTGACTGAGCCCCCCAGACAACCCGAGAATCGGCATTTCGAACAAGCTCCCGGGTGAGGCCTACAATGCTGCTGGTCCAGCCCACACTCTGAGTAGCTCTGATCTAGACCAGAGGTCTTCCGCTCTGGCTGTGTATTAGTATCACCTGGGAAAGTCTTAAAAGCTCCTGATGCTCAGTTCCAGCCCCAGAGAGGTGGTTTCAAATGGCTTGGGTTGGGTTACTTCTTGGAGTTTTCAAAAGCTCCCGTTTGCTTGAAATGTGCAGTCAGGACTAAGAAGGACTGGGGGGCCATGCTTCTCATTTTACAGATGGAAGGGAGCTGTCACAAATGCTGCTGAGGCCCATGAGGGAGGGCCCTTCAGGTGAGCACAGGGAGTGGGTGGCAGAGACTGACTCTTTCCTCCCTCTAAATGCAGCCTGCAGTTTCCCTGAGGTGGTCCAGGTAGGGGGCAGGGGGCAGAACAGAGAGGACAGTCCTCCCTCATCCGGACAGCAGCTCCTAAAGCAGCCCCGGCAGGTGGAGGGGCTGATGAGTGAGTGGTGCCACCGGGCACCGGGCAGAACCACAGCCCAGGAGACAGTACCATTTCAATATGGCCCCATTTCACAGATAAGGAAACAGAGGCCCTGAAAGAGGAAGACCCACGGCAGGTCAGATGCTCCAGGGGGCGGAACAAGAGGGGCGGCTGCTGCAGTGGGATCAACCCCTCAAGTCCGTGTGGGGGAAGGATGCACGCATGCCTCCTGTGGACCAGATGTGGCCGGGGGCGGGGGAACCGCCACATGGTCCCCTGGGGGAGTATGGCACCCACATCAAGGGCGCTGCCCGAGGGAACGTCCTGGATCTGGGGCCTTTGAAAAACCCACAAAAGCCCCCTAGGAGAGTCTAAAGGGTGTGCTTAACCAGGCCTAGCAAGCGCCATGGCAGCTCCTTCCACCGCTCCAAGCTCCAACTCCAGAGGGTTCGGAAACCTTGGGATGGGGATGACAGGGAAACAGCTCAGGCTTGCAAAGGAGAGAAGCAGCCCAGCACACCATCTCTCCCAGGCGGGGCAGCTGGCCCGCTGCAGGCCTGAGCCGGGGGACGCTGTGCCTTTGAAGGCAGTTTGAAGTTCTGAATATTATGACGGACTCCACGTGTTGCTGGGCTGGCCAGAGGGCCTTCAAAGTCATGAGACTCGTCTTTTTCTCTAGAAGCATGGGAAGAACTGTGCCACCGGAAGAGTTAACACGACAGTGGTGGAGAGAGTTTCTCTAGGATTACATCCTAAGAGTCAAGTCGAGTCAACGTTCTGGTTACGCGTAACCACATGGGTGGCAAACGCTCTCCACCCACACCAAGGCCGGGCCCCTGTTCTCTCAGGGCCTCTGTGAAAATGGAAGCATTACATTTGGTCTGTGTCCTGTTTCACTCCCCTCTTGTAAGGGCTCCTCACTGCCCACAAGTTAAAGTTCAGATTCCTTTCTGTGGCTCGTCTCGTACCCTGTCCTGGCAAACACCATGTCCTGGCCGCAATGAGCCTTTGCCAACTCTGGGAACACACCCAGCCCCTCCCCAGGCCTCCATGCGTGCAGCTCCCTCTACAGGCCTCTGCCTAGCTAACCCCCACTCACCCTCCAGGTCTCAGCATTGGGGGCACTTCCTACATGAAGCCTTCCCTGAGTGCTTGTACCCCCAATGCCCCTAGACATTTCCAGCCAGCCTTTACCACTGTGTGTTGTAAATGCTTTGTTAGCTGTTTGATTTCACTAGGAGGCTGAAGGTGCTGGGGATGGGCACTGTGTGTAGCTTGAATCCCCAGCAAATAGCCCAGGGCTAAGCACATTGTAGGTGCCTAATAATATTTGCTAAATAAATGCCAAGTGAACATTGCAAACATCCTGAAACAGGAGTGATTACCTTCTTCTTCATTTTCACATTTTTGAAGATGGCGTGGACCCTCCATGTCTTTGCAAACATTGCCCCAAAGGCGGTTGTGTAGCCCACGGTGAGAATCCAGGTCCTGACCTAGAGGCCATGAGAAAACAGAGACATTAACAACTCCTAGGTGGACTGACCTCACCATTTAGGAGAATGTCCCAACAGGGAGATTCTAGGTGATGTCTATCTTACATTCTGTAGAGTTTTACTATCATCAAGAGTCCTTCAATCACATCTCAATTTGATAGACAGTTCTGTCAGCCACTCACTAGACCCAGGGCCCTGGGCACAGGGGCCTGTGAGGTTCAAATTCTGCCTTCCATGGGCCCACAGCCCAGAGGGAGCCAGTCACAGAAGAGGCACAGAGGCGCCCAGGAGCACTGAGGGGTCACTGAGGGACTACAGACCAGCCTTCTGGTCTTCCCCCCTCCTTCCCTTCCTTCTTTAGAGCCTTTTAGATGAGGAGACAGATCTGCAGAGGTGAACATAATCGCTGACTTCCTGTCTCCTCACCTGAGTCCGTAGGAGACCAGATGGCCCCAGGAACCTCTTCCATGGGACTCCCAGCTCCCGGGTTGTGGGCAGCAGGTAGGGGAGGGCACTGAGCCACAGGGGCTGAGACTGGGCAGGAGAACCAGCCTGCTGTGGTCCTTCTCCAGGGCTCAGCAAATCCACCACTCTGGTGGAGCATGGCAAGACTCAGCCAGAGCTGGCCCCAGGGACACCTTGCTGGCAGCTGCACCCAGGCCAGCTCCAGACCATTGCAGGGGCTGTTCAGTTAGGGAGGAAGACCGGAACAGAAGGGCCATGACCTTCCTGCTCCCATTAGGGGCCTGCCTCCTTGGGTCTTGGGAGAAGAGAGAAGCAAATGCTGCCTGGGTCCTACCATCCAGCCCCATCTGCCATGGTCGCTGTGTGGTTCCTACTGCACTGTGTGACCCCAGAGTCTGGATACTCAGCACCAGGCCAGCCTGGCCCCTGAGCCCACCATTGGACCTTAGGTTCCTGCTCAGACTAAGGCCCTATCTGGCTCTCACCTATTCCCCAGGATTAAATGTCTCCTGATCCCCAGCCCTGCATTGGTGACAGACAGGCTGGACCCCTGCAGGCTGGGATGGATGGCCACCATCTGTTAGGTCGTGGGGGCATCCTGGATGCCGATTCCCTGGCTGGCCTGCCGTCACGGCCAGACCCCAGCCTCTCCAGATTCCCCCCTCACCGGCTGGTCTGGATACCCTCCCAAACTGAGCAGACTTGCCTAGCTCCAGCCTGTGTGTCACAGAGTCCTAGGGCCTCCTGCTCACTGGGATGAGAAAGCCATGTGGCTGTGAGCTTCGATTCTGGGCTTTGGTCTTTCCTCCGCTCTCCCTCCGCTCTGTTGTGCTAAGTTCCCTTGGAAAGATCCGCCCCCCCCCAACCTCAGCTGAACACAGCAGGAAGGTGAAGGGAGTAGGAGAAAGAGGGAGACAGCCAGGCTGGAGTAGACAGGTGAGGCCCTCCGTGCCCCAAGGAATCGGACACAGCAGGTGTGCCTGGCCACACCCTGCCCCTCCAGCCCAGGGTGCCTCAGCCTGTGTAGGAAGTTCCTAGAAATGCTCCCAGCCGACTTCCTGCATGGAGTACCTTCACTCTGCCCTTCTAGCAACTTGGCTCTCTAGCCTCCAGTTTCCAGAGACAGAACATGTCCCCTTTCCATTTTATTTGTTTTTTTTTTTTTAAAGGTTTTATTTATTTATTTGAGAGAGACACAGTGAGAGAGGGGGCACAAGCAGGGGGAGTGGGAGAGGGAGAAGCAGGCTTCCCGCTGAGCAGGGAGCCCAATGCGGGGCTCGATCCCAGGACCCTGGGATCATGACCTGAGCCGAAGGCAGACGCTTAACGACTGAGCCACCCAGGCTCCCTTCCATTTTATTTGTGAAAGCAGGACCTGGCAGAGAAGATGGCGAGGCCGGCCCCCTAAGGAAGGACAACAGCATCACAGTGATTGCTCAGGTCTGAATGCTGACAATGGGACAGGTGGAGACGTCACTTTTTTTTTTTTTTTTAAATTTCAAAAGCAAGGATAACTCAGACAGGCAAGAATGAATCACAGTACTTTAGAGAAGGCACCGGAGGGCCACATTATTACCCATATTATAATCCAACAATGCAAGAAAAGTGAACAGAACAGGCGGGGAGGAATAATAATGCCCAATTATTGGGAATTTAGACCTGAGCTTAATCAAAGACCAGCTCACAAATCTGTAGTCTGTCAGGGTTGCATAGGACCTTACAGATCATTCATTCATTCATTCATTCATTCATTCATCTGTTCACTTGGTAAGTATTATTAGGCTGGAGGTTAAGTGTATAAAGATAAAAACAACAAATAAAACAACAATAACAAAACAGAGTGGTTTTTTTTTTGAGCCACCAGTTGAGTGAGAAAACCACTTTGCAGATGAAGAAACTCAGAGACTCAGGGCATTTAAGACATTTCTCTGAACCACGGCACATAGCCGCAGAGCTGAGCCTGGAACCCAAAGCCTTGACCCCCGCCCCCTCTCCCCTACATCCTGCTGCCTCCTCCTCAGATAGAGGTTCCTACTCCGAAGCTGGTTCATCCACACCCAGGAGTCAGCTGTCAAAGGGACAGGACACACAGGGGGAGGGGCGCAGGCTAGCCCACACACTCGTAATGCTAACAGGTCGGCAGGAATGTTAAGACAATGGCTTCCAAGTGTTTTGACCATGTTCTCCTATCAGAAAGAACAACTTGAAACATGAACATAAAAGGCAACGTGGACATTTGAAAAAGGATGGTAGGGGATGAAATCGTCTCATTTGATTTTTATGTGGCCAACAAAGATCTCTTATTTTGGGTGGAAATGTCACTCCAGCGTGCTTAGCATTCTTAGAGTTGCTCTGACTTATGTTTTCTTTGAAGTAATCATTTCTGGGCCACTTGCCTGTTTTTGTAAGGCTAAATTCATTAAGACTCAATACTATAAATTAGTTACACCTTGATAATACAAACCTAGCCTGGCATCTGGAAACAGCAACATGTTGCCATAAATGGAAAGCGAAGAATGGCTGAGGGGGCCTGGGCAGGAGAGGGTTAATGGAGCATGCTCCCGACCCCGTCCTTAGGAGGGCCTGCTGGCCAGATTGACCCTTGGCTGGCGTCTGGGAACTTGGATTTGGGGACAGTTCCCACCGTCCCCTCAGTGATAAGAGCGACTCTTGGCCTGAGCTGTTTGGGCCAACACCACGGTTTATGCGGCATGCCTGCTTTCCTTCCGGGGCCCTGGAATTTTGGTACGTGCTGAGCAGAGGGGGCCCGGGTGACCTGCCCCCAACAAAAATCCCGGGCTCGAAGTCTCCAGTGAGCCTCCCTTGGATGGGATTCAGGGTGTCCCATGTGATCCGCTGGGAGAGGCGCATGGAAGTTCGCGCCTGGTTTCCCGTGGACTTTGCCCCATGTGCCTTTACCCCCTGTGGATTCTGCTCTATATTCTTTCTTTGTAATAAATCACTGCTGTGAGTACGACCATGTGCTGAGTCCCGAAGTGAATCGTTGAACTGGGGGTGGTCTTGGAGCCCCTTAGCACAACACCGCACTGTCGTCTGGCGTCAGGGATCGATCAACCACGCGGTTCTCTGGAGAGTTCCTGCATCTGACGACTGGACACTGCACCAGGGCTCCAGGGCCATTCCAAGTATTACACCTGAGTAAAGCTGAATTTCTTTCATATTTTTCTATATAAAAACCAAAAATAAATAAAAGCTATATTCTTCCGCAAGACGATCCCAGCAGGTCACCTCACACACTGTGGTGTTCATGCCATTTAAAGACAGCCCCACAGACCAGGATGAAACAACACTGGAGGAAAGAACTCTGAAAGCAGGACAATGGGACCCCCACCGGCAGAGCTGCCCACCACGGGCTGGCTGGGCCCAGGGTCGTCACTGAGCGGGCGGGACCTCTGCAAAAGGGATGTTATTTCTCTTCCCACTCCTCCACCATCTCTTTGAGATGGAAATGGACTCTCTTTGCCTCTAAGGGCTCTCCCCGGGTTATTTCCCCCACTCTCAGGCGTCAACTACTTTCTCTGTGCTGACAAGTCCCTTACATCTTTCCCAGCTTCTGTCTCTCTCCTGAGCTCCAGACCTGCATATGGCACTGTCACCAGAGACCTAGGTGATACCTAGCTGTGTCATAAAACTTCATACTCCACAGCCAAAGTTGAGCCCATTGGCTCTTCCTCTGAGCAGCTCCATTTCCTCCCAACTCAGGGAGTGGCGCCATTATCCACACCATCCACTGTCACCCCAGTTAAGGACCTGGAAGTCTTCTCCCTTGGGGAATCCTCCCCACCGCCACTCTCCTCTCCACCCGCTAAGCCTGGCTTCTGCCTCACTTTCTGCCCAGACCATGCTTTGCCCTTCCTTGTGTCTGAGAGGCGAGGCCCCGTGCCCGCACCTCCTGGGCTCCCTCGCCCTCTGGCTTTCGGCTGGACTTGGAAGGTTCCACCAGGAGAGTGGAGGGTGCCAGGAGAGAGAAGATGGAGTGTGTGCTCCCTGCTGCCGCTGCTTCGGAGCTGTATCTCTGGCCGAAGCTGGGTCTGTTCACATGGCTCAGGCCCTCTCTGGGTTCTGGAAAACACTCCTCTCTCGATCCCTTCCGGCATAGGAGTAAAAGGGCTTCCTGTGGTTGCTAGTCCCCAGGTGCTTCGACCCCCATGTTTGTTTCCTTAAGCTTCCTGCACCCCAGGAGCTAGTCCCTCCACTAGAGCCTCTCTGTATGACCCACGGTGGCAGACTCTGTGTCCTGCCAGGCAACGCCTGATGGCCATCTTACTGCATGTCTCTTGCTGTACACCCCCTCCTCTGTGTACTCATGCTGCCATCTGGGTCAGTCATGACAAGCAGGGGCTCCAGAGTCAGGCTGACAGGGGTTCAAGTCCTGGCTTTGTCACTTGCTATCGATGCGAACCTGGGCACGTCGTGTAATGTCTTTGCGCCTTGATTTCCTCATCTGTGAAATGGGAACAGTGGTGCCTCTTTCTTCATAGAATGGTTGTAAGGATTAGATGAACGAAGGTGTG